AGTTCGTCAACATGATTTCTAACACCATTCGCATTCCAAAGGAGGATGGATATGGGTTTTGGGATGTGAGTCATTAAGGATTTTTTAAAGGAGGGATGAGGTGAGATACGAGATTTGTGAGGAGTGATATGAGTGGAGTAACTAAGGATTTGAAATCGGTGAGAGTAGATGCTAACAAACTGGTGAGATCTGTTGCATTTGAAGGAGGAAGAATATGAGGAATTTCAGTTGGGGTTGAAAAGTGCAAATTTCTTATCACCACTCGTAATGATCTCTTCTGTTTCAGCTGGTACGTATGGGAATTTGCATTGGTTTCTAACAGGTACTTCACAATTTTTCGGTAGGTTTCTGCAGTATCTGGTGTTATTTTTGTATCGTTGGTCCTGTTGAGGCAAGAATAACTGCCGGAGCAGATTTCTTTTAGTTGTGTACACAATAGCTGGAAATTTTTGATATTTTTTACAAATATCGGATGCAGCTTTGATTCCCTAGGTATTGCTGCTGACTCCATTACTTCTCGGTCATTATGAAGCACTTGAAACAGGTTTGGAGTAAAGAAAGGAGATTCTTCAAACATTTCTTGCGAAGAGGTTCCTGGTTGAGGTTGAGGTTCTGGATCTGAAGTGTTCACTGTGGTTATTGGAGCAATTTCTCGCAGGCAGCAACGAGTTCTTTGTTTGACTAGTGAATCACGAAGGGTAGTAACGCCCTCTGACCGAGTCCTCTAAGTGGAAACCTTACTGGACATCACTTGGTGACAATGCCGCATATCATAAGAGAAGAAAAGGAAAAAAAAAATTAAACCTAAAAAAAAATAAGTAAATATCAACTGCTCTGATATACACTTGAACTGTATTCAGTGAATAATCAGAGAGATTCTGCTGAAAAATACGAAAAAAACTGAGAGACGATTTGAGTTCACAACCTTCGCATCAGCTGATCCACTGCCTTCCTCCATTAAGAAGATTAATGTCTTTTGTTTAACAGATACCCGCTTATTTAATATAATCTTTGACCACATCATATTAAGTGCATTTCTTGTTATTCGAAGCTTTTCCCTATAATGATCTGATAAAGATAAATTGTCTTTTATAGTAACCCTCTTGTACTTTTAATTTTCTACTATGTCTATTGGGTTCCCATCATATGTCCATTTTAATTTCTTATCAGTTTTCTATTTCCTTTTTCGACATATTATTATTTTTGATTTTTCAAGGTTGATTTCCAGACTCCAGAATTTGCAATTGGTCTCTAATCTATTTATCATTTCTTAAAATATTAATGGGTTGCCTGAAATCAAAACCACATCATCCGCATATACATAATTACATTAAGCTTCTTCCCACCTATTAATATTCCACCTGCAACCCATTCCACTAAATCATTAATAAAATGGAAAAAAGAAGCGAGCTAGGCTGGCAACCTTGCCTTAGGCCTATCTCTGCATTGTAAGATCGTGAAAGTCCATCTTTTGTCCTTACTGTAAATGTTGTAGTTTCTTACAGGCTTCGTGAAATTCTTATTGCTTTTGTGGGGAGATGGGTAGTATTTAATTTATAAAAAAGTGATTCTCGGTCTATCTTATCAAACGCTGCCTTAAAATCTACAAAAAATAAATAAATAGGCTGATAATTATGAAATTTATAACTTATTATTTCGAACAGAAGAAACAGATTATCGTGAGTGGAGTATCCTGGCCTGAATTCAGTTCGATTTGCAAAACAAATATTATGTGACACCCATTTTGGCATTCTGTTCAGTAATATTCCAGTAAATATTTTTGATTTGCTGTTTTGGAGTAATATGCCTCTGTAATTGTGCCCATTATTTAAATCTCCTTTTTTGAATATAGGTAATATGATAGATTCTTTAAAACATCTAGGTACTTTTTAATTCTCAGATATACTGTTGAACACTTGAAATATCTTTTCGAGGAAGCTCGGTGTCGCATTTTTATAAAACTAATAAGTTATGCGATCCATCCCCGGTGTTTTATTATTTTTATATTTGTGAATCACTGCCATTGTTTCCTCAATAGTATTTTTTTTTTCCATGTGTTCACATTCAATCAAAATCCCCGCATAAGCTATCGGGTCAGTACGAGGAAGAGAGGTCTGTAGTTGAGCAAAATGAGTCGCCATTTCTTATGATTTTATTTGAGGTCCACTAACAAACTTACATTGCCTGAAGAACTTAATTTCTTTCCAGATATCACTTGAATCTTTTGCTTCATTTAGTTTTGTTATTATTTCAGTAAAATGTCCATTTTTATTTAGATATACAAATTACTTTAAATTTTGTATTAGCAATCAAATATTTTTTTTCATTATAAATGATTTTCTTGTACGAATAATTTTAAAAGCGGGAATGATTTCAATCTTGCTCGTTCTCAAGCCTAATTTTCAATTTTTTTCAAAATGAAGGCCACTTACTATGTTATCGAAGGCATAGCTTTTGAAAAATACAAAAAAAAAAATTTGATAACGCGGTTGCATATCCATTTATTTTAACATTTTAGATTTTTTCAGTGTGATATTTCTATGTCATATTCAATTATTTCCAAGTCAAATTCAACCTTTTCCAAGTCAAATTCAACCTTTTCCAGATCAAATTAAACTTTTTCTAAGTCAAATTCAACCATTTCCATTTCAAATTCAACCTTTTCCAATTCAAATTCAACCGTTTTCATTTCAAATTAATATATTAATTTTTTGTAAATTTTATATTTTTTTTTAAATAATGGCCATCCCCTCCCCCCCTCCAATATGAGTCTATTATTATGCTCTCCTAAGTAGAATTTTCACTTACGGATATCGATTTATTGTACCTATTCGGATTTATTAGAGACTAGTATTATGCTGTCCAGTACCTAGTTTTATAAATAACCTCCATTTTAAGATTAGGCCACCACGTTTCGAATTCTTTGAGTTTTTCGGATTTTTTTCATATGAGGATGTATTCTTATGTTTCCGGAGCCGTAGATTTTGAAAACGACCTCCATTTTAAGATTAGGCCACCGCATTTCGATTTATTTAAGTGTTTCGAATTTTTATCATAAAAGAGTGTATTCTTATGTTTTCGGAGTCGTAGATTTTAAAAATGACCTCCATTTTAAGATTACACCACTGCGTTTCGACTTATTCAAGTTTTTCGAATTTATCCAATTTAAAGGTCTACTTTTATAATGCCGGAGCCTTAGTTTTTAAAACGACTTACATTTTAACATTAGGCCACTGTGTTTCGGTTTTTTTAATTGTTTTTGATTTTTTCTTCAAATAAAAAACAAAATACGAAGGATTAATTTATTTTTCAATAAATAAATAAAAATATCTAATCAAAATAAATAAAATATGTATCGTCTCATTTTTAATTTAATTTTAGTTATATTTTTTAATGTTGTGGTCTCCTGTTACAAAATTATGAGATTTCGAACAATTAGCTGAAAAATCTGAATATGGAAGTTTAACTTTATTACCAGTTGCTTTTCGGCTTTTTAGTTTGTATTCTGTGGTTAATTTAACTTTAGCTTCATAATATTTATTTATTTATTCATACTCGAAAACATATTGATGAAACTGTGTATTGAAAAAATCCAAAATGAAGCCTAATTAATCGAGATGCAGCGGCTTAATCATAAAATGGAGCTTAAATATTAGATAAATTTAAATATTAAATATTAGATAAATTTAAATATTAAAGATTAGAAAAATTTCAATACGTCTCGGATAACATAAGTAGATGCTTATACCGAAAAAGTAAAAAAAAAAAAAAAAAATTATAATCCAAAACACAATGGCATAAACTTGAAATTGGGTCATTTACAAAGTGGGGGTAATCTACTGCTCCAGAAACATAAAATTAGACCTTTATACTTGTTAAATTCTAAAAACTTAAATAAGTTAAAACGCAGTGGGGTAATCATAAAATAGAGGTCATTTTCAAAATCTACGGCTCAAGAAACATAAAAGTAGACCTTAATATTGGATAAATTCGAAAATCTTAAATAAGTCAAAACGCAGCGGCATAATCATAAAATGGAGGTCATTTTCCAAATCTACAGCTCCGGAAACATAAAAATACACCATTACATCGAATAAATCAAAAAAACTTAAATAAGTCGAAACTCAGTGGCGTAATCTTAAAATGGAGGTAATTTTCAAAATCTACAGCTCCGGAAACATAAAAATACACCCTCATATGAAAAATATCCGAAAAACTCAAATAAGTCGAAACGCGGTGGCCTTATCTTAAAATGGAGGTCGTTTTCAAAATCTACGGCTCCGGAAACATAAAAGTAGACCTTTATATTGGACAAATTCTAAAAACTTAAATAAATCAAAACACAGTGGCGTAAACATAAAATGGATGTCATTTTCAAAATTTACTGATCGGGAAACATAAAAATACACCCTTATATTGAATAAGTCAAAAAAACTTAAATAATTCGAAATGCAGTCACGTAATCTTAAAAAGGAGGTTATTTTCAAAAACTACTCATACGATAACAGACCCATACATCGAAAAATTAAAGATAATTAAATAAATAAAAAAAGGTTGAATTTGAAATGGAAAAGGTTTAATTTGAAATGGAAAAGGTTGAATTTGACTTGGAAAAAGTTTAATTTGATTTGGAAAAGGTTGAATTTGATTTGGAAAAGGTTGAAATTGACTTGGAAATGCTATATATTCTTTTTTGAGCATGGAAAAGATGTCTAGTCACGTTCTGTAATGTAAATGTAATAAGGTAAATACTTCTGCTATCACTTAGTTTTTAGTTATTTTTTTTATTGTAACACATATTTTGGCCAGATGGAATGTTAATTTTTATGTACAAAATTGTTATTCTTAAGGGACTTTGTTCCAGAATAAAGTTGATTCTTCTATTCTTCTATTCTATATATGTATATATATATATATATATATATATATATATATATATATATATATATATATATATGTATATATATATATTATATATATTATTTTATTTTATTTTTCAGAAACCTGTATAAGTCACAGAAGCTCTTATCAGTTCAAGTTGATGCTGATCTTCCAGTTTTCAGCCACGACAGTAAAGCTTGGTTTCCAACTGCTGAATATATTGATCATGATGACATAGACCTTTTCCCCATATTAATGATATTAATTACTGTCCCTTCTGTGCTTTTTATTGTATATAGATATTTCTTTCTTAGAAAGAGGCCTAGGAGAAAAAGAAGTAATAAATTAGGAAGATTCTTATCAATGCTTAAAGTGCCAAATGTCTAATAAATAAAATTTGTTTCATGCAAATTAAACTTTGTATAGATAAACTGATTGTTATGTTAAAACAGATAAAATACACATGGATGAATTCAGATGAAGAGCTTGTAATGGAATTTTGACATTTGTACAGGATATTGTTATAGTGACCAGGAAACTTTTTCTTGAGATAAGTTTTTTGTGTCCTTTTTTAGTTTTATTCATTTCCTTTGATCTATGTTTCAGGTAATCAAGCTATAATGATTTTGTTTGCTAAATTCTGTATTCTTTTCAAATATTTATTATTTTATTTAATTGACTGATAATTAAAATTTACAATCATGTCATTATGTCATTCTATATCCATATCTATGTGCCTTCTAAGAATGGAAGCTGTTGAGCTGTAATGCTGATTGATTGTACCTAGAAAGAAATGGTCTGGGAGTTAATCAGAAAGAACAACAAATTGTATTAGAGTAAATAGTAACTATCTATTGTTGATGTATCAATCCATCTTGTTGATACATCGAGCAAGTCTAAAAAGAAAGATACTGAGAAGATAATAATTCACAAAAGAAAAAGAAAAAAATTAATATAGTAAAATAATTATTATAAAATAATGATTAAAAGTAATAACAGTATTAGTAACATAATAGTAATACATAATTATAATGTTAATAGATGAAACAATTATAATGAAAAAGTAATTACTGATAATGTAATGGGTGATGAATAATAAGAAAAATAACAAATATAATAAGTAATACATGATATATAAAGATAAAATATAAATACAAATATTGTTGTAATACAAAACAATGGCTAATAAAATGAAATACAAGGAAACTGAACACAAGCGGGTATATAAAATGGTTTTTTTTTTTTTTTTGTCTCTTTTATTTTGTTTCATACATTATATCTTTGTCAATCGTTTATCGCTATAGTTGTTGTTACCCGTTACTTTACAAGTTAATACTTTTTCTGTTTAACTGTTTTCTTCTGTCTTCTGGTTTCAGTGTTCAGTTTCTAACAAACTCTGACGAAGTTTCTATTAAATAATTTTTAATGAAATTTTATTTTTCTCATTTTCAAATCCAACAGGCACCATAGGTGTTCTATAGCATTTATGTCCGGACACTGGTGGCGTTTTCAATTGGCTGGGGACATTGTACAGCATCCATTCTTTTGTTTTATTTGGTGAGTGCTTGGCGTCATTGTCCTGTTGGAAGATAAATGCATCTTTAATCCTCAGATTTTTGGCTCTTTTATTAAACTATGTCGCAAAATGTCGACATAATGTTTGCCATTAATAATAATGTCAATGAAAGTTAAGTTTCCAATACCGTTCCATGACATACTCTCCCAATCCTGGACACTTCCACCTTGGTATATTATAGGAGGCCTCACATGTCGATTTTGAAACTCAGTGTCAAGTTTCTGCCGAACAAACTTGTGATCATTTGAATGGAATATGTTAAACTTACTTTCATATGAAAAGATGATATTTTTCTAGAATTCTAGGTCTTTATTAAATTAACTTTTGGCAGACTCAAGTCTTTTTTTTTTTGCAGTTCACCTCTGTACTAAAAGGTCTTTTATTAAAGGTCATTTTATTGAAGTAAATGTGGCCTCTTCTGCTATCTGGGCGGCTGATAAAGTGTCATTTTGCTCAACAATTCGATGTATATTCCTTTGTGCCCTCTCATTAAATTTTTATTGCCGCTCTGAACAGGGTATGTTTAAAACTTTCTACACTCCTGTACAATATTTTTAACACTGCTAAAACCAATTTCTAATTTATTCGCTATTTGTCCATATTTAAGTCCACTAGTTGTAATTTAATGATGTGTTTTTTTAAACTGTCACAATATTCACTAGTTTTACTCATTTTTTTATGGAAAATATACAGCAAAGACTGATTTTTATTATTTTCATTGTACTATCTTCAATCGCCGTTTCTACTTTTTTGAAAGGAAAAGTATTAATTTGTTTTGACTGTAACTAATAGTAAACATTTAAAACAGTGCCAATACTTTTTTGACCCTCAAAATTCACTCTTTATGTTTGCTTTAAACATATTTTTTGAATTCTGAACATTCATTGATTCTAGAATATAATTCTGAAAGGCCTCTTTGTTATATAAATATTATTTCTGGAAAATATCTTAATCCTATTGAGATTTGCAGAAAAAATGGAATGTGCCAATACTTTTTTGATCCACTGTATATACAATTTCCGTTATTTCTATTATTCATTATTTTGCTATTTTTTACTTTATCAGTATATTGGTTCACAAGTTTTTTTTTTTTTTTTTTTTTTTTTTTTTTTTTTTTTTTTTTGTGTGTGTGTTTGCCAAATATTGCTTTATCATTTTTAACATTTATTATTTATAAATTTTTCTTTGCTCATATTGATATTTGTAATTTTATATTTCACAGTGTAATGATTCATCAGTTCACTATATTCATTTTTTCTCAGTTATTATTTCAGATACCATTATATTTTATCTTTAAAAATGATTTATAAATTTTTCTATGCCTATTTTCATGATAGTAATTAAATATATAATTTTTTATTTATCTTTCTTATTCTATTTATCTAGCTCAGATGCAGACCTACAATGTGGGTTGAAACATCAGCATTTAATAAATAGTTACTGAAATTTATTGTAATTTCTAATTGACATTGGACCATCTCCTAGATTTACTGTAAGGTCAAATATGAACACTTAAGATTACTATTTACATTTAAAATTAAATTTACAATGTAGAAAGTTCATTGATAGGTCTTCTATTTACTATTTCTGGCTTATACCATAGCATTTTTTTTTCTTTAGATATTTTGTTACACAATATGGTATTTTATTATTTATAAAATATAAAATTGTTAAAATACTGCGTATAAAATTTATTTAAGTTGTTACTGAATTCCCCGAGCTTAAAACTATACTAACCTCTTTTTCATTGGTAATTTAATTTTTTAAATAGTTGTTTTGTAAATTTTCAGGGTTGTAGCTTGAAAAATATTTCATTAGTTTAAAGTAGTAGTGTTAACCATAGAGGGAAGTATTTGTTTAACAACAATATTTACAATCACTATATAAACTAATAAGTTTTAATTTGGTTTTCTATAGATGCATTTGTCTTTAATCATATCAAAATTTCTTTTCTGATTGGTTCCTAGTGTCTGAGGGGTATTTTAATCTGTTATTTGTTTCATTATATTCTCATTTTGTTTGTAAATTTGTAAAAATAAAGTGAACAATGATGTACTTCTTTAATAAATTTATTTATAATAGTTTTCTTATTCTTATTTATTTATAATAGTTTTCTTATTCTTATTTATTTTATAATAGTTTTCTTATTCGTATTTATTTATAATAGTTTTCTTATTCTTATTTTTTTGATAATAGTTTTCTTATTCTTATTTTTTTGATAATAGTTTTCTTATTCTTATGTTGCAAAGTTCTTTAATCAGCAAACATAATTTATATTGTTAGTTGAAATATGAAATAGTAATCAATCATTGAAAAATAAATAGGAATATGCTGTGAAAATATATTTTCTTATGTCAATATGTAGAATAATTCATAAGATATTTTTTGAAGTCATTAGTAGATAAATAATGGGGAGGATGGGCCACGATTGTTCCATCCCCTCCACCCAGGCTTAAACTACATGTGATCAGTCACGACCCTCTGTACACGTTCTCTTATACCTGATACCCAAGGTCTATAAAATCACCAGGTTCGCTCACTCAGAGAGAAAATAGTGGTGAGGAATCGAGCTCTGACGTAACCACTAGACTGATAATACCCCTCCGGCGCTTGTTTCTGTGCATTTTAAGATTATTATTTACCTTTCTACATGAAATCAATACTTTAAGGTATAATATTAATATTTATTAATATTATTACATTTAAAAAGTGAGAGAAAGGTTCATTTGCTATTTTGTTTATTTTAAAACACATAAAATGTAATTTTAGAAGTTGATATTTTTTTTTTTCAGAAATACAAAATGCCACAATTTTTTTTAAATATTTGAAATAAATATAAAACGTATTGTGAAATGGTAGAACTATTTTTAAAAAAAGTAAAATTTAAATCTAAAATTATAAAAGCGTTTACTTTCTACGAATATTAGTAAATTTTACATTTTTATGTCATAAGTAATCCTACGTAGTTTTTTTTTTCAAGTTTTTGTCTTTGTTCTAAAGGGCCGCTTACACGGTCAATATTATTGAATAAATATAATTGAAGGCAATATATTGAAGAGGTACTCACACGGATCAATTATATTGAATCAATATTATACCAGTTAAGATCTTGCTTCCACTAAAAAAGGTCTCCAAAGATGTGATCTTCCTTTTTCGCTAAAATGAATAATAATGATTTTCCTATTACTTTAATTGCCTTGGCTTTAGCATTTTATATATGTTATCTATACATACATTATATATGTGTGTGTGTGTTCTTTGTAATGCTTATTTTGTTCTTAAACATTACAACGTTTCTTGTTTCAAATTAGTTCTGTTCTTGTTTCCTAATTATTTAATTTTCAAAACATATCATTGTCTTATAAAAGAAAAATCGGAGAAGGGGGTTCTCACTCCCAAAAAAAATTATTACCCACCTACCCAAACATATTGTAATTTTATCTTTAAAATTAAATTCGGAGGAGGGGAATTAACCCTCTCCCTTCCCAAAAAAGTAAAATAAAGTATCAACCATTTACGCAAAAATATTGCCATTTTACCTTTTTAAAAAAAAATTGTAGGGAGGGGGGAGGAGTGTCTCCCCTTCAAAAAAATACATATTAAAACAAAGTATCACCCCCCTGGCGCACAATAGATCTTTCAGGGGTCGATGTACCCTAAGCCAACATACATCACCCCCTACTCAAACATATTGCCATTTTATATTTTTTAAAATATTTGGAGAGAGGTTAACCTCTCTCCCAAAAAAAGAATAATAATAAAAGTAAAACAAAGTATCACCCACCTACCCAAACATATTGCCATTTTATCTTTTAAAAAAATTCAGAGGAGGATTAAACTTCCCCCCCTCCAAAAAAAAAAAATATTAAAACAAATAATCACCCCCCTACTCAAACATTTTGCTAAGACGGGCACCAGAAATTTGGTATCCCCCAGTGATAATGGCTTAATATTGCTCAATATAGCCCTGACGCCAAAAATTACATTGATATTGTTTGAATAATACTGAAGGAGCTTAAATAAAAAAATTAATATCAACCAGTTTGAATGATGTCAATTTCATGCCATTTTATCCTAGATTGCTAGTTGTATTTATTAATTTATCTACTTGAAATTATCTTCAACCAAACGTCAAAAGCACAGAAAAGTATTATTTTCAATAAATTAAACAAGAAAAAAGAAAAAAAAGCACAATAATGAAATGAAAAATAATTTTATTCTGGTACTACTGTACCCTAAGAATAATAACAAAGTTACAAATTTATGGGTCTTAGTCTGACATGATAATAAAAATACAAACTAATTTATTGTTAATTGTAATTTCGATTGTGCAATAAATTGAAAGTGTACAGATTCAAGTCATTTTACATGTTAGTGGAAATTTGAATGTGGAGTAGGTGGTGGAACAGGAGTTGTTTGAAGGAATTTGTGGACGAGGATTGATGTAGGATGTGAGTTCCATAAGGAAGCAGCGGAAAACACCAAGGAGGAATTGCCATCGGAAAGTAAGATAAAGCCACTTCAACTCGGTGTACCAGAGTGAAACGTGTGAACGCCTGGGGATCCCGAAAATGTATCGTATGAAACAATTCATGAGTCTCTTCAGTCTCATTTCTATCCTGACAGATAGCCCTCCATACACTAAACAGTCGAAGTGGGGGAATACAAGGGATTATAGCGGTCCTGTGCGGAGTTCACGTAGTTCAAGCGCCCGCTACGAGACTGCGCCACCACAAGACGCTCATACCATTTTTATATTTTATTTCTTATATATATATATATAACTTGTATAAAATGTATATATCTCTCATTGAAAACATGTATTATAAAAATATGTTTATTTTACTAAATAAAGATGAAGGTATATAAATCAACAAATAAAAAAATAAGACCAGAATAATCGGGTATGACTCTCGTTACTCATCTTTCGCATAAAAGAATGATCTCCTGCCCCTTATGGTACTGCGTTGAGATGGGTCGTTTCAAATGTTTTATGTACCTGTTCCAATCCGTTCCATTTCCCTAACGGAATCGTTCCAAACTAGGGATGGGTTGATACTAGAATTTTTGTATCTAGATACAACTGGAGTTCTGCGCATGCGTTAACCCTGCACATACACTCTTCATTTCGTCTCTTATAAAGTGACTTTATTATCAGTGAAATAATTCATATTATACGTGAAAAAGTAGTGTGAACTGTTAAGTTAACAATTAAGTTGAAACTGGACATAAATAAGGTGAGTAATCACTTATTTATAACGGCATTATGAACAGTGTAAATAGACCTGAGGATAGTGATAGATAACAAGCCGGCCATATACATTCGCTAATCCGAGCAGTGGGCTGCTGCCCTTCGGCGGAAGCACATCTACGTTACTCAGAATTCTACAAACTCGCGTAATATATACGTAATTGATAAAGGACTTTTTTTTTTACAAATTATTACATTTACCTCTAATTAATTAAAATGAGATGCGATATTTTCACATGGTAATGTGGGGCAAAGGTAGCAATCGAACTTTAAGATTTAGGAGTCTCGATACCACAAAGAGTTCACCTATCAAGAAAAGGACTAGACGCTCTAAAAAAAAATACCCCGCCAGCTACACCAGAGAGCTCAGTTGACGAAGTTGAAAATCAACCTGGCACATCATCACAAAATATGTCAACACAAGCTATACCAATACAAGATATGTTAGAGGAATCGCCCTTTTTTACAGCTAATCCATTCCAAGTGCTGTCAAACACACAGAATGAACAAATGGAATATCAGCTGCGCCAAGAGAGAGCGCTCAGGGTGGTGATCAGTAGATTACACCCATCAACACCGCTGGATGCCATTAAAGAAGAACTAACTGAGATGGGGTTCCGTGTTCGCCAAATAGTGAATATATTCAAGGAAGATAAAGAACAGCCTGGCACAAAAAATAAAATACCGCTCCCACTATTCTTTGTTGACCTTGACCGAACGCTCCAGGTTGAAGACATTTACAAGGCCACACGCCTTTATTACACTAGCGTTGTTGTAGAAAAGCCCTACACTAAGCGCGACATTGTACAATGCCATAACTGCCAGGCTTATGGTCATACGAAACGCTATTGCCACCACATTCCTAGATGTGTCAGGTGCGGTGATCAACATAACACAGAGGACTGCAAGAAGTCCAGAAGAACACCAGCAGTATGCGCCTTATGCCATCAAGGGCACCCAGCGAACTACAAGGGTTGCCAAACATATAAGGAACTGAAAGCAAGAATTTATGCACCTCCAAGAGAAGAACGGCCATCAGGCCACCAAGACAACCCTATAGAACTGTAAATAATAGATTGTCCTATGCTCAGATGTTCAAAGGAGACACTGCACCAACACAAACTCAGGCCCTGCCACAAGAACCTCAACCTCGAGTATTCACATCTCAACCTCAAGACCCTTATCCCATCTCTGAACCTAGGCCTAATAACCAGGCATTCATTCCTCCTCCTCCCAATGCCACTGACCTCACAAGCCTATTGACTTCTTTCCTCTCTGAATTCAGGTCACTCATCACTTCTCTCATTTCCTTACTTACCAATGTTGTATCCAACCTCATCCCACTGCCGAGAAATCCTTAAATGTCCCTAATCAAATCCCTCTCCGTTCTCCTTTGGAATGCGAATGGTATACGAAATCACATCAACGAACTAACAATCTTATTACGTGACAAAAACATTGATATAGCATTAATAACTGAAACTCGACTTACCAACAAACGACCACTTATCCATCAATCCCTTTCCCATCACCTATTCCCTTTGCCGACCCATAATTTCCTACAATCCACTGCCGTGATAATCCAAACTTCCCTTTACCCAATAGCAGTAGTCGCAGCATACTCCCCGCCTAAAATACCCATCTCAGAATCCAAATTAACTTCCTTCCTTAACTCCTTAGGACACCACTTCCTTCTAGGTGCAGACTTAAATGCTAAATACCAGCAATGGGGAGCCAGAACCACAAATTCCCGAGGACGAACATTGCTATCTGCACTTAATTCCCATGACAGCAACATCCTCTCACCCAATTCTCCCACATACTGGCCAACAGATCCTAACCGCAATCCCGATCTCCTAGATTTTTTTCATCCACAAAGGTCTAGGGTCCCTTAATTATTGCATCTCAAGACTTGATGATCTTTCTTCAGACCATAGTCCCCTAATCCTAACGGTTCCCACATCACCAATTCAAAAACCACCTCCACCTTCATTTATCAGGGGGCCTGTTAATTGGAACCTCTTCCGTCAAATACTGGATGATAATATTGACCTCAGAGTTTCCTTAAAAACACCTACAGACCTAGATGAAGCAGTACATTCCATGACTACCTTGATCCAACAAGCAGTTTGGACTGCATCTTCACCTGATCCTTCTAAAAAATACCGCAAAACAAATCCTCTACCCCAAGACCTACTGGACCTTATTAATAGAAAACAATGCTCTAGGACTATCTGGCAAAGAACCAGGCATCCTGATGATCGGAAATCATATAACTATTATTCCAAGCAAGTAAAACAAAAACTGGCCACGTTTAGATCCCAATCCTATAATTCATATCTTTACTCACTATCTGCAAGTGATAACTCCATCTGGAATGTAACTAAAAAAATCCTTAAATTCCAATCCATTTCCCACCCCCTCCGCCGTGATGATGGTTCCTGGGCTTCGTCAGATGAGAATAGAGCAGAAGAGTTTGCTAAACATCTATCGTAAACATTCACTCCTCATCCTGAACTCCATCCCTCCCAGACTGCTGAAGTTAAAGAATTCCTCTCTTCACCGATTCCTCTCTCCTTACCTCCTACATCCGCAACCTCTCTGAGGTCAAATTCCTTTTAAAGAACCTAAAATCTCGCAAATCTCCAGGACACGAACCCTTACTTCCCAGATCCTCAGACAACTTCCCAAAAAAGCAATTATATTCCTTACATACCTATTCAACTGTATCCTCCGCACAACCCACTTTCCTCTGGTGTGGAAACACTCCATAATTATCCTCTTTCCTAAACCAGGTAAACCTGTTAATTATACATCATCCTATAGACCGATAAGCCTACTTCCGATCCTTTCCAAAATCTTTGAGAAAATCCTTCTCAAACGCATCCTACCCATACTCGAATCCCACAATATCCCTCCCCATCAGTTTGGATTCCGTTCAAGACACTCCACTGTCCAACAAGGCCTTCGCGTTGTGGACCACATATCCTCTGCACTTGAAAACAAGCAATATTGCACTGGTGCCTTTCTGGACGTAGCTCAAGCTTTCGACCGGGTGTGGCACGATGGCTTGCTTTTCAAGCTCAAAACCCATTTACCTCAACCCTTGTACCTAGTCCTCAAATCCTACCTTTCAAATCGCTCCTTTCAAGTCCTCTGCGGCACTGAACTCTCCAAACATTATCCAATTGAGGCTGGTGTTCCACAAGGCAGTGTCTTGGGTCTAGTTCTCTACATCCTTTTCACCGCTGACATCCCTTCAACTCCTGATACCTTCTTAGCAACATTTGCTGATGATACTGCCATCCTATCCTCTCACTCGGATCCTCTAATAGCGTCTCAGAACCTGCAACGACACCTTTCCTTCATTGAGCAGTGGTGCAACAACTGGCGCATCAAAATTAATGAATCAAAATGCAAGCATGTAACTTTCACTCTTCGACGCAGATCCTGTCCGCCAATCCTTTTTAATTCAATTCCTCTTCCCTTCACAGACACAGTCCGATACCTTGGCTTCCTTTGGGACAAAAGACTGACTTGGAACCCACATACCAGACTTAAAAGACAAGAGCTTAACCGACGATTTGGTCAGCTATATAGACTACTAAACAGAACATCTCATCTCTCAACAGAAAACAAATTATTAATCTACAAGACCATACTGAAACCTATCTGGACCTACGGACTTGAACTGTGGGGGACAACTAAATCATCGAATATCAAACGCATCCAATCCTTCCAGTCCAAAGTCCTTCGAACAATAGTCAATGCTCCATATTATGTCACGAACAAGACCCTACACCATGACCTTAACATCCCATATGTCCATGACATCATCCCATCCAGATTCTCCAACTTTCACCAGAACCTCATTCATCATCCCAATCCTTTAGCGCAATCCCTATCCAGCTCCGAACATCCATACCATCCCCCACGAAGGTTGAAACGGCAGTGGCCTCGAGATCTTTTGTAAATATGCCTTTGGAGTCCTGGCAATGGCCAGCTTCTCCACTCATGTCCTGTGCGTCTGTGGCTCTAGTGCCCTCTTTCAGTCTCCATTGGCTTCTAATACTAGTGATGCGGCTGGAAAAGTGGCGCTGGGATCTTCCGGAGTCTTGCTTTGCCTTCCATGTGTGGGGGAAAAAGCCTGGCTCGGAGATTCTTGGGCAAATGTATATATTGTATATAGGTATGATTGTGTTTAGAAGTTTTTATTTTTTTTTATTTGTTTATTTTATTTTATTTTTTTTATTTAACTTCTTCACCAGTATTATTTATTTACTTCTTATATTTATATTTATTTCTTTATTATTTGTATATATTGTATGAATGAGAACTTTTAGCCCTAATGCTTATAGCCCTCCAGCAGTGGCTGATTGTATTATTATTCAATAAACAGATTAAAAAAAAAAAAAAAAAGATACAACTGATACGGGTACTTTTTTGTATCTGATACTTTTGTATCAGATACAAATGGGGCAGTAGTTTGTCATTACCTTCCTACTACTTTTTATCTGATACTAGTATCAGATATTTTTATCTGATACTGGCATCGGATACTTTTATCTGATATTTTTATCTGATATTTGTATCAGATATTTTTATCTGATATTTGTATCGGATATTTTTATCTGATACTTTTATCTGATATTTTTATCTGATACCTGGACTAGATACCCAGCGGTATGTATACTGACTGGCGCTTGGGCTTAATAGTTAATATATAATAGTTCTAATGACTGTATAGTTATGCCAGGTACTATGAAAATATTTACAAAATTATTTAAACAAAATATGCTTCATATTTGACAAAAGAATGGAATATATTAAATAAAAATGTAACAAATTCATGCAGAGAAAATATTTTCCTAATACAACGTTCTTAAGAATTTTGAAACAATTAAAAAAATTCTTTATAGCTAAGTTTAACATACTCACACATATGTATATATCTTTTATTTTTACCGATCAATCTACATCTTGGGATATATCTGCCCTATATCTCCCCAATCTGCATCAACATCAGATAATACATCTAATGTTGAATCTCATCAAAGAATAATCACGATAGCTCTAAGTAACAAACCCTTAGATTGTTTTTAAAGAAGAAGCTATCTGTTCCTGAAAAAAAAAACACATAGATGAAGGATTGATTTTGTTATTTACAAAAGATTTTCAGGCCTTCAGCATTGTTGAAGATGAAGGCTTCCGCGTTAATTCATCTCGCATGAATTCAAATTATGTATTACACTCCAGAAAAACAATTTCTCAGACATTGATACCAGCAATGTATGAGGAAGCAACAATTAATTTTTAAAAAAATTATTTAAGTGAGGAGATATTTTCAGTAACTCTTACAACCGATTGCTGGACTTTGTCCACCGAAGATAGTTTTATGGCAATAACCTCCCACTACATAAACAATCAATTTGAAATTAAATCAAACGTGTTGGAATGATTCTCTTTCCCCAAGCAACATACAAGTGAAAATTTGGCTTTGGAGTTAGACCGAGTATCTCGGGAATAGGGGATAAAAAATAAAATTTTACTATGCATTAGTGACAATGCAGCAAATATAAAAAAAGCCATAACAGATATTTTAAAATGGAAACATTTTGGGGGCTTAGCCCATACGATAAATTTAATTGTGAAAAATGCCCTAGAGAGCGAATCAGGAGAAGTAGATTTAGGATCACTTACAAAAAAGATTAAGACCATTGTCAATCACTTTAAACATAGTACACAATCAACCCAGAAATTAATTGATACTCAGAAACAAAATGGGCTTGAACCCAAAAAATTAATTCAAGGTGTCCCGACAAGATGGAATTCCACCTATAATATGTTCTCCCATTTTGTTTTACTCAAAACATCCATTCGGACTACTTTAGCACTCATAGACAAACCCATTGAAGTACTATCACCAGAAGAATGGGTTATAGCATCAGAAATTACTACTGCCTTACAACCGATGAAAGAGATAACGGACCACATAAGTGGCAAAAACTATGTGACAGGGTCCTCTATTATAATTTTAATCCAAGGAATTTTGGATTTATATAACAATATGATTGAGGATAATCCCAATTTTTCTTCATCAGTTAAATTGTTAATTAATAAATTAAAGGAGGGATTTGAGGGTTGCCTGAGAAATTTGCAGGGAAGCAAAACCCTTGTTACAGCTACGTTCCTCGATTCCAGATTCAAAAATATAGCTTTCCCTTCAGAAAAAACAGCCGAAACAGCTAAAATAAACATCATCATTGGTAGCCAGCCAAATTAATCAAGATTTAGGTGAAGATCCTTCAGGTGGTACAGTTGAAATGAGTAGTGATACTCCTTCGACAAGTTCCACTCTTGTAACAAAGAAGCTCGCTGCATTTAATACATACAGACGAATTGCAGCTAATTATAAGCCAGCTGGGATCCCGATGGCAAGGGCCATCACAGAAGTACAACGTTACCTGGAGGAACCGCTACCATGTGACCGGTTCACCATGTGAAAATAGCGACCCGCTGAAATGGTGGAGGGAACATTCCTACAATTTTCCATTTCTGTCAAAAATTGTTTGACAAAAATTTTGCACAGTGGTAACATCAGTGCCATGTGAAAGGGTTTTTTCTAAAACCGGCAATATTTTAAACGAAAGGAGGACTCGGCTGTCCTCAGAAAAAGTAAAAAAGCTTGTTTTTTTGAAATATAATTCTGAAATATATAATAAGGCACTAAAAGAATAAAATATATATCGGCACATATTTAATATATATTTTAATGTCCAGTAACTAGTATCAATCCAATGCTTAATTTAATAAGATATATATAAAAGATATTTACATTAATATTTACCTGTTAGCTACTTATTTTAATTAAGATTTTATTGAAGTTGTTAAATAATTTGTTGTTATGTAAATATGTTTACCACAATGCTAATAAATGTTTGTTTTTATCAGCCAAAGGTCAAAGGTCTTTATCAGCAGTGAAATTAATTATTATAATATGTCGATAACATCCTCCTTATTTTCATTTCATTTCAAACTAATTAAGTTAAAAGTTCAATTTTTTCTAAGCTATTTTTGTTTTATATATATCTGGGATCAGAGTACTAACACATGGAGAAGAAAGACCAATAAAGAACTGCTTACAGAAACATGGTCAATCAATCTCTCATGATATGAAGGCACGGAGATGAAGATGGACGGGCCATGTAGCTCCTAGCAATCCATCTGGAAGCCACTACGTAACAATGAATGCCTCAATAGTAGGAAAAAGACCACGTCGAAGGCCAAAAAGCAGATGGATAGATAGAATCAACAAAGATGCAATAGACCTGTATGCACATAAATGGAAAGAAATAGCCCAAGACAGGCAGAGATTGAGCATACTTGTTAAGGTGGCAAAAGATCTACATGGTCTGTAATAGAAACAGAATAAATAAAAAAAAATAAATATATGTATAAAATAGAATAGAATAGAAGATTCAACTTTATTCTGGGACAAAGTCCCTTGAGAATAACAGTATTGTACATAAAAATTAACATAACATCTGGCCAAAATGTATATTTTAATAAAAAAAAACACACACAAAAAAAAAAGTAATAACACAAGGATTTACATAACTATACTGATATATTAAATACATAATATGAGCAATAAGGGCCAAATACAGCAAGATGGTTACTAAAAACAATAAACTATGGAATTTTAACTGAAATTTGAAATGAACGACAGTTGTCATACCATTGTATTAATGAAAAAATAATAATAAAAGAGTGGATAAATATTTACTTTAAATGATTTACATATGTAATTTAATATGTTCAAAGAATACAAGTCCTATATAATCTAAATCCCAAGATGTAGATTGATCGGTGAAAATAAAAGATATATATATATATATATATATCTATACACACACACATATATATATATATATATATATATATATAAGTTAAGCGTTGGCGGACTTTAAAAAGAAAAATAAAGAAGGAAAAAGGATCGAGAAACAACACTCACGGCTTCTGATAACACACTGCTTTATTCGTTCAATAATCTGCCTTATATACAATTGTTATGTTTATTTACATTACAAGATGGTATTAAGGCTGATATCGCCAGTCTCCGGTCTTTATCTCCCCCCCACCAGTTTACGAATAGGATTTTCGGAAACTTATAAATTCCTAGATCGGAGCCACCGGTATCAGCCTTAACCCTTTACAATTATTCGTACCAGTATAAACTTAAAGTACACCAAAACTCACTTCCACTCCGCTGGAACGAGAAATAAATAAAAAGAAATAAAACACAGAAACTAAACACACAACGTCTTATTAACAATGGAACAGAACTCTTAATCCTATAAAAATTACAATCGCCTCTACTGTATTGCTATATCTTTATTTACAAGAACAACAACAAAAAAAAATGACATCATCAACAATAAAAAAAAAACATATTTCTTATAATACGCGATAAGGGTACTACGAATCAATTGGTTTATGTACCGGTTCTAACATTGGGAGCTTCAATTGTTCAATATGAACAGTTCTCCTCTTCTTAGGTTCGTTAATGCTTTCAATGGTTAGCAGATTATGCTCCCTAATAGCAACCACTCTGAATGGGCCCTCGTACCGTAACAATTGTTTCCCTCTGTTGGTTCCAATTCTACGGTACACTATTGTTCCGATTTTTAATTCTCCCATTCGGTCACGTACCTGCACATTCTGCCGCGCTACCCGCTTCTCCTTTTCCCGCTGAATTCTCCCCGTTACCTTTCCCCACGTCTTTTCTACCTCTACCCTAGTACTCTGGATTTGCTCTACGAGATGTTCATTGGTCGTTGTTTCCCCCCAATCTCTCCTTGGCCTGCGCATCCCGAATAGTATTTCCACAGGTGAAAACCCCGTTACGGAGTGGATCGAATGGTTATAAGCTGTTACGGCTTTCTTCATCGCAACATCCGGCTCCAACCCTTTCTCTCCCTGATATACACGGATGTGGTCACTCAACGTGCTGTGCAATCGTTCGATTCCTCCTCTACTCTTAGGGTGTCCCGGTGTGTTATAATGCCACACAACCTCTAACCTTTTCACCTCCTCCCTAATCGCGGTATTGTCGAACTCTCTGCCCCCGTCTGATGTGATCCTCTCGGGAACTCCGTAAAACTGTATCCAGATTTGTAGGGCTTCCGCAACTGCATTGGCAGACTTGTCCATGACCTGATGTGCCATAGCTACTTTACTAAAGGTGTCGATGATCGTGACCCACTTGAACCCTTTCCAGGTGAATGTATCGATCTGGAGGTCTTGTAGCGGCATATTCCCTGTAGGTGTCTCTTCCTGAACTCCTCTGGGGGGGTGTCGATCATACTTTGTGCGCATACATACCTCGCATTTCCCGATGATTCCTTGGATAGATTTTTTCATTCCCCACCAGAAATACTTTCGCCGTAATGCCTGCAACGTCTCGTTGACGCCTCGGTGGTTGGTCTTCCCCTGGTGGTATGCCAATGTGACTGCTTGTTGTTGCTCCTCATCCTGTACGGTTTCCACTGCATACTTGCACCGGATGATCGTTCTATCCATGCCTATTCGCTCGGATCTCCACATCCGCTTTATTTTCTCCCATACCGTGTTGTTCCCAACATAGAGATGGTGTGTCTTTCCCGGTTCCGTGGCGTCCTTCAGTGCCGTACGGATTTGCTCCTCGCTCACCCCGGGTTGCGACCAAATGACGCGAATCCTACTTTTCCCGTATCTTCGGTAATCTATTTTCATGATCCCTGTTGTCCTTGTTTTCCAGATTACCTGTCTATGCTTGTCGTTGATGATTTCGTCTATTTCCTCCATCTCCGCTGGTCTTTCCTCCGCTGAGCTATCTTCTTCCGGGGACCCCTCCCTGTCCTCTATACTGACGGTATCATCTGCCCCTTCACCCTCAGGAGTCCATTCCCTCAAGAATTGGCGCACGTCCCGCGATGGACCTCCCCCGTCCTCTTCTACCGCGTTGATCATGATGGCCCTAGAGAGCCAGTCTGCCACCACGTTTTCCTTTCCCGGCTTATACACCACCTCCATGTTGTACTGACTAAGGAATTCTTTCCATCTCGTGACCCTCGCAGAGGTTTCCTTAAGTTTTCCTACCCACTGAAGGGGTTTGTGATCGGTGTGGACTCGAAACTTCCTCCCAAATATGTATGGCCTGAAATGGTCGATGGCCCACACTATCGCGAGTAGCTCCCTCTCTAACGCGCTGTACCGTGATTCCGCGCTCGTAAGTCGTCGGCTCGCGTATGCTATCGGACGTTCACCCTCACTTCTGCCCTGGGACAAAACGGCCCCCAACGCGTATTCGCTCGCATCGGTGGTGATGTTGAACTGCTTCTCAAAATCCGGGAACGCCAATACGGGTTCTGCCTGCAACCTATCCATGCATTTCCGAATATTATTTTCCATTTCTGGTGTCACCACGATCCTCGCGCCTTTCTTCAGCAAGTTATTGATAGGTACCAAGTATTCTGCCATCTCAGGTACGAATCTTCTATAATAATTCAGCGTCCCGAGAAGCCTACGAATCCCTTTAACGTCCCGTGGCACCGCCATTCGTGTGATTGCCTCCACCTTTGCCGCATCCGGTCTGACCCCCTCGCTAGAAATAGTGTGGCCTAAAAAATTGATCCGCGTTTGTCCCAACAGGGACTTCTCGCTTGACAGTTTCAGCCCGAATTGTCGCAGCCTTTCGAATACCGACCTCAAATGCCCCACGTGTTCGGCTTCCGTTCTGCTAAAAATCAGCAGGTCGTCCATATATACTTGACATACGGAGTCGTCGATACCCCTCAAAAATTCGTCCATCAGGCGTTGAAACGTTATGGGCGCATTCTTCAGACCAAACGGCATTCTGGTGAATTCGTAATGCCCCCTTTCGAATGTAAACGCCGTTTTATGTTGATCCTTCGGGTGCATCCGTATTTGGTGATATCCCGCCTTGAGGTCCAACGTGCTAAACACCACGGCCCCACTCAACCTATCGAGTATATCTTCGAATCTGGGGATCGGGTACTTTTCGTCTACCGTGTTGTCGTTCAACTTACGATAGTCCACTACCACTCTGTATTTTTCCTTATTATCCCCCGGCGCTGCCTTCTTTTTCACCGCCCACAGGGGACTATTAAATGGCGAGGTGCTATCGACTATGATCCCTTGCTCCTTTAGGCTTTCCAATTCCTCCCGAATATGCTGCCTCAGCGCCTGCGGGTATCTCCTTTCCTTTACGTAGGTTACCCTATCTTGCTTCAGTGGAACTTCGTGTACCGTCTTCCCTGTTACCCCCAATACCTCGCCCTCCCTGAAGAAAATATCTACGAACTCCGCTTGTAACGCCTTTCTCCAGTCCTCCACCCTGTTCACCGCTCCTATCCGCACCCTTCTTTCTCTCGCGACCCCTATACATCCAAATTTCCTCTTTCCCAGCCTGATACTCCAAGCTCCTCTACGGTTTCTAATGCTTACCCCTACCTGTCCTAACAGATCACACCCTATTATGACTTGGTACTCCCGTGTCATGCTCTCTACCACATGCACCTTTAGCTCCCCCTTTTTCCCTGCCCACCGATCAAGCGTAATTGTCGCTTCCCCTTCTACCTTACAGGGACCACCCAGAGTGATTAGCTGGCAGCCACAGTTTTGTATCCGGAGTACCCTCTCGCTCCCGCACACTCTCCCCAACGCCCCCCGAGTCAAGATAGTACTCGAGCTCCCTGTGTCCACGAGACACTTCACTCCCCCGTCTACTTCAATAATCGGCAACCAGCATGGCTTACCTCTAATACTGTTGCAGGTTGCTGTGCGGTCGCCTCTCTGCTGACACC